CAAGCCACATGATCCACTGATTCGCGTCACCATCCATGTGATAAGTGGCCAGCGCCACTTTCTGCTCCTCTGGAATGCACTGGTAACGGAAGTACTTCTCAACGCGCGAGACCCACCCAGATGGATCTTCCTTGCCAGTGAACTTTGGAAATTCGAGCGGTGCAATCCTGGTTCGAAACATTGCCTGACCTGGCTCCTCGAAGTGACCCATGGGTTGGGTCAACCCAGTCGGTCCACCCGAATAAGGCCCGCCCGTCCCATAGACTTGGGGTCGGCCCACAACGGGTCCGCACCAGCTCTGCTGACCCGGTCCGAGCGGTGGTCTGGGCTCGGCCCAACTTGCCCCTGCAGCCCACGGCCCGCTTGCCCCAGCTCCCTGCGCTTCTGGCCCACTCGGCGGCCACTGATGGCTCGGCACATTCCCCGGAAGACCCGGCCCGTAAGCGCTCGAACCCGTCGGTCCATAGGGCCCGTTTGCGTTCCCGGCCCACTGCTCTGCTCGCTCTGGCCCGCCCGCGATCACGCCTGGCCCAGACGGCCTGTCTCCAGCTCGGCCTCCCTCGGTTGCTCCCGGGCCAACCCCGTAAAGCAAGGCCCTAGTCAAGCCTCCCATGTTGGGCCCTAGCCCACGAAATTCCCCTCCGCGGCTGGTGGGCTCCGGAGTCGGCCCCATCGCTTGCTTCCCCCCTTGGCCGGCGACCTGTTCCTCCTCGCCATTGATGGCGAGATTTCCCCAGCCAGCTCCGACGGGAATCCCGCGTCCAATCCCTCCGCTGCGCCCCTCGCTCCTGACCAACGCTCCATCCGTCACCCCAGGCTTCGTTCCCGGCGTCGGTGTCAAACTCCTGCTCGTGGAAAAGTGAGACCCCTCGCCTGCGGCGACTGCCTTCAGCTTCTCCGCCGCCGTGATCTGGTCGACGGTGCGACCTCTTCCCCCAGCGACGGGGTCGAGCTCCTTCGACGGCTCGGCCTCCTTCTTCTCCCAAGGCGGATCGCGGAGGATTGCGAGGATCGCGCTGACGTCGTTTGCCAACCGCCCTTGCCCAACGCGGACAACGTTGATCTCCTCCGACAACCGATCCTGTCCATCCTGAAGTTTCTCCTGACCTCGCTGCAATTGCCCGACGTCGACGCGGAGATGCTCCAGGGCTGCTTCGTGATCGCGGTTGATAGCATCCTGAGCTTCCATCCTAGCCACGATCGCCTGTTGATGACCGGCGAGAACTTGAAATTGAAGCGCCAGCTCCTCGTCGCCGGTGGTGGTTGGTGATGATGGTGTCGTTGGCTGCTTGCGTGGTGGCATGGTCTCCTGGCTTGGTTCACTCGGAACCGGGCTCTGATACCAATTGATGCGGAACGGGATTTCACGCACCGGTGATCTCGAGCGATTTAGCGAAAGAACTAGAAAACACGATAAAAGAGCTACTTTTCTCTACTAACTACTTATACTTTATTGATCGACTTAATAAAACGAAGAGCAAAGGTACATATTTATAGGACAAGTCCCACAAACCCCTTTCCCCTTAAGACAAGGAAACCCAAACCCAAAGCAACAAGTAAACGAATACTTCCTAAACAAGATAGGTAATAATAATCCTAGACCCAAACTAATACGAATAACCCGAATAATAACCGAATATCCCAACACATAATAATGATAAAACAATAATAATAATAATAATAATAATAATAATATTAATGGGCTCGGCCCAAGACGCCGTCACCCATCAGATATGTAATCATGCGCACTAACAAAAGGGCAGAGGTAGTCATGTGAGTGGTTAATTTGTGGTTTGACAACGATCCACTTACAAATAGTCCAAATTATAATTGGTGGGTGATTGATATGGATGGATCAGTGATAAAAGTATTTATACCCTCACTTATTGGAATGGGTGGATTGTGGTCACTAAGATAACCATCATTCCACTTTTACATGACAAAGAGTTGTTTCTTGTTTATAATACCGAATAGTAATCATATTTCCTAACCGCACCTCAAATTAACCATTGAATTCAAAAGGTAAAAGATAAAGTTTTTTTGAACTACTACTATTGGTTACTATATTGTGTCATGTCCATTTGGTTTTGGAATACAAATTATAAATCGTTAATTGTACCAAAATCATCAAGAGCGTCAATTTTCTCTACAAATTGGTTGATAGAGTAACGAATGATAGCTGTGTACAATTAACGATTTATAATTTGTCACGAAGAGTAATGAAGTACTCGTTAATAACAAAAATAAAGTCACTAACCAAATATTCCTAGAGACCGAGACTCTATACCTGTGTGGATTCCATTGCTTTGCCAATTTTCTCTGCAAATTATAAACCGCACCTCATATTAACCATTGATAGCTCTGCCAAAGCAATGGATATAGAGTCTCGGTCTCTAGGAATATTTGGTTAGTGACTTTATTTTTGTTATTAACAAGTACTTCATTTAAAGTGATCGACTGAAAAGTTAGTATGAGTAATAAAAAACTTTACATGTCACGAATGTTAGACCTCTACAGGATACAAAGTGATCAGTGTCTAAGTTTCTAGTGTCTTCATATTTTGCGAAGAATATATTATAAATATTAGTCAATTTGCCTAATGGCTAGTGGGAGAATTATTTTTTAGGATTAACACACAACCAAACTGCATTCACACATCACCCATCTAACCTAGTATGCAGAAGAATATGAATGCATACTAGATCACAACTGTAACTCGTTAGTAAACGGGTCGATCAATTTAAGATCGAAATTCACCTAACCCACCTAGCCATTGTCCACCCCTAGTGAGCAGTTGGTGGGGATGATGGGAAATGAGGCTCTTATTGGCAGTGGAGAGAAACCTAGAGGAATTTTACAATGATATATAGCATTGGTGGTATATGTTTTTTCCTTTATGGTACAACTTGAAGATGTACCTTTAAAGTTATGGTACAACTTCAGATTGTACCTATACTCTTTTGTACAATTCTTTTATGGTACAACTTGAACTTGTAACTTTAGATTGTACCATCACATAAGGTACAAGTTCAAGTTGTACCATAAAAAAATTTGTACAAAAGAGTATGGATACAACTTAGAAGTTGTACCATAACATAAGGGTACAAATTCCTTTATGGTACAACCTGAACTTATACATTAAACGTTATGGTACAACTTTAAGGAATTTTTTTCCAGAAACAACACTATTTTTTTTCCCAAAAATAGCACCTAACCCCGAAAAATTCCAAAAATAGCACCCTTTCCCAAAAATCGCCACCCGACCCAACTGTTTACACAAAAACCGCAGGGTGGGGCGCGGTTTTCATGACCACTTGTGGTCGGACCGATTTGGCCCAAAATCGCTGCCGCACCCAGCAGTTTGGTCCATATGATTTTTTTTTTTGAAAAATCCTAACCTAGGTGGAAACTTCAAGCGAACGTATCTTTTTGTTAGGGTATCTGACCGTAGGGAATTTTCTTTGATTTCGCATAACTTTTAGAATCTTGCTAGCCGCAAATAGCTTTAGGCGGTTTGGTTCCGCCTTCGTCTCAAAAAGATGCCGTTTGCGATTTCGTCAAACTTTGGACTACCATAACTTTGTGCTACATAATCCGAACGTCATGAATTTTTTTTCACTTCGCATAACTTTTTAAGACTACAACTTTTATCATAGACACAATTTTGGAATGTACGTTGATTTGTGAAAAGGGAAGGTAAGTTATTCCCAAAACCATGTATATCTAAAAATAAGTCCTGTTTTGAAAATCCATTCCTTGTAAAAATTGTAGTCCTTAAAAAGTTATGCGAAATGACAAAAAACAATTCATGACGTTCGGATTTTGGAGTACAAAATTATGGTTGTTCAAAGTTATTGAGGATTTTTAGCATTCAAGGAGTACAACTTTGTCAATATATTATTGTTTCAAGAGAAGAGTAGTAGTTTGGTGGTCTAGATGTTGTGTTAAATTTAGTTAACTATTTATTATTTGGGTTTGAACCACCACCCCCACAACTTGTTGCTTTTTTTAATCTCTACTAAATAGAAAGATTTAATATGTGATGATGGGAGTTCGAATCTAGGACTTCTTGCACACAAGAAATAGGTAAACCAATTGTGCCAAGACCAGTTATGACATGTATGCGGAAAAAAATATAAATATTACAAACCGGCGGGTGGGGGGTGCGGTTGCCCCATGAGGTCAGCAAAACCGCCCCCCACCCATGTGGTTTTTGGTCAGCAAAAATAGACACCATTTTGTGAAAGTGTGCTATTTTTGGAATTTTTCGGGGTTGGGTGCTATTTTTGAAAGTTTTTTGGGTTATAGGTATAATATGCCCCTCTACTATGACGTTTTATCAAACATGCCGTTCTAGTATTTTTTACATCAAACATGCCCCTGTACTTTGACAAAATATCAAACATGCCTGTCTACTAAAATTTTCATTGAAAAAATTGTCAATCATGGTTGAACCAAGATTTAGACGACCCGACATAGGCAAATAGGAGGGAAAATATCAGTTTTGTCCCTCGTTTTATTTCTCTGGTTCTCTTCAAAGTGAAATTATTTGAATTATTTGGGATATTTTAGATATTTGTGTCGCCCAAACCAAAGTTCGGCGTTGGTTAACGATTTTTAGATGAAAATTTTAACAAAAGGGCATGTTTGATAATTTTTATAAAGTATAGGGACATGTTTGATGTAAAAAATAATAAAAGGACATGTTTGATAAAACATCATAGTAGAGGGGCATACTATACCTATAACCCAAGTTTTTTTTAAACAGTTTTATTTCTGAAAAAAATCCCAAGTTGTACATTAAATTAAACCAGCAATGCTTTATCGTCTTCGAGAAACCTATTCCTTACTAGTCCGTTCATGAAATCTACTATTACGAGCATGCAACATAAATGATGAAGAAATCCATGGACATCAATGAAAAGGAGAAACAAACTGACAAAGCTACAACAATAATTGATAAAATAGTAATAATTATGGGATTCCGTAGGGCATTTGCTCTTCTATAAATAACAAAGAAGCAGTGGTACCGTAATGGCCACCCATTAATCCCCTCCCCTATTTCTCCCTTCCCTTCGTTTACACTATTTTTCTTTGCCTCTGGCTAGTAGTTAGCCTCGTCTCTGTCTCCCTCCCATGGCGGCGCCGGCGAGTGATGATCAGAAGTACTCACAAAACTACCACAACCAGCAACCGCGCAAACCCAGAGGCCAGTTCGCTTCCTAACCCAATTCCTCCTCAGAACCTTGTCCTTCGCCTTCACATTGGCCGCCGCCGTCTCCACCGTCACCAACAAGCAGACCACCGAGGTCCTTCCAGGCTTCTTCTTCGTGGCTCACTATTCCTACTCCTCCGCCTTGCGGTATGTAGTCCTCCAATTAACAAATTATTACTTTAAAATTAGAAACCGGAACAACTTAAACTAACACCAAACTATTAATTAATGATGCGCCAATCCTTTGTTTTAAGCTTTTATTTGTTCCCCTGCCTTCCACTAACATATTTGTTGATGGGATCCCGGCAGATTCTTCGTGGTGGCTAACAGCGTGGCCGGGGCTTTCTCGCTGGTATCGCTGCTGAACTTAATCTTCGTGCGCCAGGGATGACTTGATATATACACATGTTTTTGCCCACCATTCTTACACCGTTTGAGTCTTATCTCTCGTGTTTTAGGCCGATTTCACGCTAGGTTGTTCTTGTTTGTGATATTTCAGGTCCTAGTACGTGAATGAAGGTTTGGGAACGAGTTCGGGGTCGATTGGACGAATATCGGACGTTTGGCGAGAAGCTGAGGAAGCCACACGGGCATGCCTAAAACCCACACGGCCGTGTAATGGAACCCATGTGGCCGTGTGGAAATTACCGAGCCTTCACACGGGCATCCTGGAAATTCCACAGGGCGTGTGTCCCTGACCGTGTAGGAAGCCTGAAGTCACTTAACGAAACGTCGCGTTTTGCACATTCACACGGGCAGCTGGGAAAGCCACACGGCCGTGTGGTCGGGAATTTCTGGGTTTTAACCCAATTTCGAGCCAAAAGTGAGGGAATTTACTTTTTGGATCAAAAATAGAGTTTTAGAGAGAGAAAGTACAAAGAACAAACCCTAGGAGCTATTTGGAGTGGATTTCTCACGATTGAAGCCCAGATTGCATCCCCAGGAGTGAAGATTGACATCCCAGAGCAGATTCTTCCCATTTTTATGAGTATGACTGCTTTGTATTCTGTTTCCCTCTCTCTCTATGGAGTAGAACTTTCTCTCACTTGGGTATGAAGAACCATAGTTCCATGTGTTAGGAATCTTGATTGTAATTACGTTTGGATTGTGATATTGCTTGATTATAATCGATTGAAGTGTTTTGATTGAGTCAATTGAAGTCTGATCACCTTTTATTGATTTCTGCTGCAGCCTGAGATAGATAGAATCTGATTAGGTTGTTAGAGCTTCTTCAATCGGTAGTAGTGAGTCGATTATAGAGAGTTAGTCGATTCACTGCTTTGTACTGGAATCTAATTCCAGTAGTGGAGTTCGGTGTTCATTGCCTCAGCATTCTATTCCAGTGAAGACTAGTCGTCTGCCGGATAGTTTGACTGAGAGGGCTTGGTCAGCTTAAGAGATTCCAAGCTACTGTCGGATCTTCCGCAGTGTAATCAAAAGTAAAGCAACCAAAAGTAATTACAATTGTGACCTAACTAAGGAGCTAGGGGGACTCATTCCCGAGTGACTCTTCCTTTGCTTTAGAAAACCGAACCATTTCCTTCTTTCTTACTGCTTTTACTTAAATCAACAATCACTTGACTTAGTTGGCTAGATAATAGATATTCACGGAGTAGGCAGTAGATCTAGACCCCGGGTTGACATTAGAACTTGCCTGTTACTGCATTTCCGGACTGCGATTACACTTGGTCGTAGTTTGGTGTTGTGTTTTGGTGTGTCAGCCAGCGACGGGGCTCCAACGTTTCCCCTCCCCACTTTTTCCTCCTCTTCCTCCTCGACTTGGTAACTTTTCAATTCCCGAATTTCCTATTGCTTAAATCTATTTTAATGATCAGAACTAATTGTGAGTTTGAGTAAGCGCAGATGGTGATGGGGCTGGTGGTGGAGGGATGATCGGCGACGACGGCGGTTGGTGTGGTAGGGAAGTACCGCGAGAACCACTCCGGCTGGATGCCAATTTGCGACCACTTCCATCGATTCTGCAACAGAGTGACCACTTCCCTTGCTCTCTCTTACTTCTCTCTTATCCTCCTGTTCATCCTCACCATAATGTCCAACCGCAACTTCGGTCGATCCAACTGACACAGACGCAGCTCTGCCCATGGCCTCTTGCACGATAGATGAAAGACGGCCGCCGGCGGGGATTCTACTAATTAATCGTTGCAAGCCGTGTAACGAATTATTTAATTAAGTAGTCGTCTATTAGCCAAAAAAGCAGAATTTATGTACAAGTCTCACAGAGTTCCGTTACTTCTTCTTGAGTTTGTTAGAACTGACCTCGCTCACTCTCGGCTTCTCCTCCTGTGTATTTCCCTCCTAGTGCTAGTAGTGTGTTTACTTGCGTAACGCAAGTTACTTGGATGCATTCCCCCCTCTCAAGTTTTAGTGTTAAATCGGCAAAGCGACTGCGATCCTCTTCACTTCAAAATTTCATAGATGTAAAAAGGGAATGAATAGATGCCCAACACTACTAAATTACGATATGGTCACCATCAGGCTGTTAGAAGCCAACAGAAGATCCGTGGGGGCCGAGTTTTGTTGTAGATATAAGATATATGATAATGTCAATAAAAGGCTATACTATGAAAGTCGACGAGTTTTGGAGAGAATTGGACAATATTAATTGAACTCAAGATATAGGGAAGACGATGTGGTTCCTCTGAATATTACTAAGATAGGCTCTGTCATAGAGTCCAGATACGATGCATAATCATGCGTTATACTACTGTTAGTAACATAACACCAACATGACCTATTAATCTAGAGCGGAACCATTTTGTGGTTGGGGTTGATGCGAATGGGGAGGGGTGTTTTTGTCCTTTATTGAATTTATTTGGCAATACACACATGCATAGTCATAACTTTTCACAATGTGACAATTATAGCCAATCGAAACATGCATAAATATAGCTAGATTTTAAAAGTACGTTCGACAAATTTAGCCATTTATGTTAGAAATATTGGCAGCGATAGAGTTTAACATGTTCAGAATGTAAGAAAATATGTCTTATTTTTAATTTTAAAAAAAATTATGTGTCATCAATTGCTTCGATACTATGAAATAACATAATTTGACAAATAATATGATACCAACAAAGTATAATATGATATTAGTTAATGTTGAACATTTGAATATTATTTTGTCATCATGATATCCATCACATGTATCATACTGGCATACAAAATGAATGTATCAAATATGAGCTAAGTTTTTAGTAAACAAGCCTAGCTCGAGCTCGACTCGAATCAACTCATTAATAAACGAGTCGCGCTCGAGCTCAGCTCATTTATTAACAAGCCGAGCTCAACGTGGGGTAAGACTTGACTCGACCCAACTCATTGTAGCCCTATGATATGTTCCTTCCATATAGTGTAGTTCATCAATTTATGGGTTTAAATTGAATTTTCAGTTCAGGATTTCCTTAGCGCTTCAGTCAAAGGAATTGGGGTTTTGGAAGCCAAATTAAGCCCAAACTTTATATACCGAGGTTCTTATTGCAATGTAATGGATTCTAGTTTTGGTCTAAGAGTTTCGGCCACTTTTCGAGGTCAAAGCCGGGAACGATGAATTTTAACTCCGGCTAGGGTTAGATGTGTTTTTATCGAGAATTTGCTATGAAGGCTAGTGTTAATGTTTTTAGTGGCACGTCATGAAATAATAGGCCAGTTTCAGATTTCAATTCTGGGATCGTTTGGGAAAATCAAAGTTTTGGCACAAAAGGCTAAAACTGGTGTTTCAACAACCAGAGTGGTTGAGAGATTAGCACGTCATACCGAGTTTATAGTGTCATGATAGTTATATTAATTCTTAATAATTGATCCAGGTGAACTAGAATGGCAAGATTAGGTGTGTATGGGCTTTCATATTTAACGGTGAATTATGGATTATTTAATGATGATTGTCTTGCTTATGTGTGTCATTTGTGGATTTAATTGTTGACATATCTTTATTTCTATCCAACAATGTGCTTATATGTGAGTAACATTGTTGTTATGTTTGAATTTCTAGTATGCAAATATTGTCTGAGGTGGTTGTATGATGTTGAAGCAGTCGCATGAGGGTTTACCCCGATGAGGTGCAGTTATAGGACTCCTTGGTTACCCATATGTTGAGCCAAATATTTCCAGGTCAAGTACATGCTCCATGAACGAACCAAATAAAGTAAAATGAGATATGGATTAAGTTGCTTTGGTTTCTTAAGTTATTACTTAGTAACTAGGGCCCCATGCTATTACTCTACTATTACATGTTAAGTTACAGTCTCACCCCTCTCGTGGTGCTGACCTTTGATCCTTTACGAGATATTACCACACCTAGAGCGGTGTCGGGTATGACCACACTCAGAGCGGTGTCAAGTAAAAGCATACCTTAAGTGGTGTCGTGTATGACCACATCCAACGGGATGTTGGGTATATTTTCTCAATAGAGTTATTAGCATGGGGGTAGCCAGACGCCTGATACGATGCATATGCATAAGTCAAGGTGGTTGATTCATTCGCCTATTGGAATGTTAGATATATGAGATTCGATCATAGTGTTTTGGCATGATTGCTAGATGCATGGTATGGTATGCTTTGTAATGAACTAAGCTATCAAGTATTGAACATAGTCGAATATAGATGAGTGATCAATCCATTCCATACATGCCTAAGACAATGACATCACATTACTAAAGCATTTTATAAGGCATTTGAATATCATATAATACGCCCCTGGGGGTGTATGTTATCAAAGTAACGCAGCAAACGACTCAATCGAAGAATCGATTGAGCTCGAATCAAGAACGAAGCGCTCTTAATACGAACTTGGGATAAAACGGAACCAACGGACAATTCCACACCTGGGGAAAGCTCGTATGGTATAAAAGGGTAGTTGCTCGACCACGATTGAAGTGACTATTCAATCGATACACAAGCTCAGCAAGTTTGGAATCCACCAAACCCAAAACAAGTCGCAACTTGCACAAACCAAACGGTTCTCAATTTCGATTAATCAAAGTCTGCATTTTTACAACATAAATAGAAGGCTTAAATAGGCCTAGCTAGGGTTACACACGTCCCATAAACTCCTAATTACAGTCTAATACGAAAAGGAATAAAAACTACCAAAACAATGAAATCCTAACTAAACAAGAAAAGGAAAATCTGCCTTTAGCTCCAAGTAACCAAACAGCTTTGATGCCATCTTTGAGCCTCTCGATCAAAGCCTTCCAAGTTGATTCGAACTCAACCAATTCCTTTCCTCTGTAGAAGAAAACTCCCTCTTTCACCTCCAACTTGAAACAGCCCGAGATCATTCTCCAAACTCCAGATATAAGCCTTCAAAGTTGGTATCTCAACACAGTTTTCTGCCTTAGACATTTTCTGGCAGTTTTCCAGTTTCGAGGTAGCAACTTTGAGGCCTTTGAAAACAACCTTAATGACTTCTTCTTGAGCAACCAAGCATACCAATGTGTAGATAATCACTCCATGTTCAATACAAGACATTAAACTTGAATTTACACTAAGCCAATTGAGAGAACCATGCCTCCAAAGTATGTACCCTGAACATGGATTTTGACTTAGCCAAATTCTGTCCTTCTTCTTCCCAACTTTGATAGCTTCTTTGTCAACTAATCGTGACATGAATAGTTGGCCAATTTGGATCATATCATCATAAGCATCCAATTGTGTAAGCATCACATGACTAAGGCATCTAACGATACAAGCATTGCATAACATAGATAACAGAGAATAAAATCTCGTCATAATATCGTAGAAATAAGATGTTATAAGCATAGCAGTCAAAATCATGATTTTACGTAAAATCGAAGGGGGGGGGTGGTAAAATCATAATCGTAAAATCGTAGGATTTTAAGATCCATATAAAAAGGAAGACGTAATACTATTAAGAATAAAAATCATGAATAATACAACAACACTAACAATTACAATGATTATTTCTCAATATTAATGTTCTGATTTATCTAGGATAATGTTGGGAAGTGGTGAAACGATGATGATTAATATGTTGAAGTGAATTAATGATGGTCGATGGTGGTTAGTGTGCGAGAACTAGATGATGTTGGTGGAGGAGTAGGATTTTAAAGATTGACCAAGTAAGTAAGGATTTAAAGATTTTAAGGATTTTAAAGATTTGAATCATAAATAGTGTAGGATTTTAAGGTCAATAGATTTTATAGTGAAATTAGAATCGGAACAAGTAAGTAAAATCGTAAAACCGTAGGATTTTAGGATTTAAATCGGGATTTTGACGACTTTGGTTATAAGCATCCATAAATTTCACATCCTTAACGACGAAGTTGAACTAACAATAGATAGCAGAGAAGGATGATACCACCACTAATGCTAAAGGCATCTTCTTAGTTGCACCCTCCTATCACTGCTAATTCGACCTCCCCAAGCCAAGTGGCTCCTTGCTCGTGTTCGACATAGTGATTTTAGTGTGTGTTTTCAGCCTACTGAATCACTTAACCCGACCCTCTATTTATAGTATAAGAGCTAGAGGTCTTTGGGTCTTTTTCTTCCTAAAACGTAACTAAAGGCTTCCCAAAATTCCTTTAGGCTTGGGCTTCGGCGGCCCAACAGCAGTCGGACTAGCCATGTGTTTCTTTGCTCCATTGGGTTGCTTATCCCTTCAGTAACTCATCATTCGATTTTCAGCACGACTTGATGGGTTTGGCGTAGTGGCTGCCACCCCATCATAAAGCCAGCATGAGTTTTTTGGTGAGATTATGTTGAAATTTCTCCAGTGGACTTCTCTTGGGCTCTTATGACAACTTCATGAAAGTTTCCCCTTGATTTGACCTCACTTAATGGACGAACCACCTTGATCTTCATAGTAAATTAGGGGTGTTCAAATGGTTACCATGGTTATTACCAAACCAAATAAGGCTAAATTTCATTAACCATGGAATGCAATATCATAACCAAACCGTCCAAACTAATACAACAACCAAATTAACCAAACTAAAGTTTATTCGGTTTG